AAATATATAAATGTATCAGTCACTTATTTCATATAATTGCATTCATGTAATCGATAAACTGGGCCAAAACTTCTGTGTGGATCATTTAGCTGCTTAGTAAGGGAAGGCGTTCGTAGAGGGCAATAAACTTGACCTGAAACGTGGCATGCGTGGATGAGTTGGCATGGAGCAGATGATGGAGTTACTGATAATGACGATTTTCTAGATAATGATAAAAGGGCCCGCTTGGAAGTAAAGAGAGAGCGAAGGATAAGGGTATTAACTTGTATCTTCGTGGTTCCTGCTGTTAATATATATTTATGAGATATATCACGAGGCCACTTGTAATGATAATGAATCTCTCAATGATTAGGAGCCCCTTATTTCACTTGATAGTATGGTTAGGTTAGGACAATATAAAGCTACCATTATTATTGATCAACGGAATCACCACTGTAACTACTTAGATGAAATAGATAATATAACTCGCTACCTGATTCTTTGTGCCATTAGACAGTATTCATATTATAAGCGTTTAACCTTTTTTTTATTCATGCCAGAGCGTGAGAGTCATGGCGTGTGTACTAAAAGATGGAGTGATAAGATTCATTACTAATTGCCACTTTTTAGTAAATCACCAGTATATGTGTACAGTTGTGGGTATAATTATAGGTGTAAAAGGTGGGTGATGGTGCGGTAGGTGGGTGTGGTGCCGTAGGTAGGTAGTGGTGCCGTAGGTGGGTGGTGGTGGAGTAAGTGGGTGCAGTAGGTGGGTGGTGTTAATGCAGTGGGTGGGTGGTGGTAGGTGGGTGATGGTGGAGTAAGTGGGTGTAGTAGGTGGGTGGTGGTGCAGTAGGTGGATGTGGGTGCAGCAGGTGGGGTGTGGTGGAGTAGGTGGGTGTGGGTGCAGTTGGTGGGTGTGGTGGTGCAGTAAGTGGGTGGTGGTGGAGTAGGTGGGTGGTGTTAATGCAGTAGGTGGGTGTGGTGGTGCAGTAGGTGGGTGGTGGTGGAGTAAATGGGTGGTGTTGCAGTGGGTGGTGGTGGGTAAGTGGGTGGTGGTGGAGTAAGTGGGGTGGTGGTGGTGCAGGTGGGTGGTGGTGGAGTAAATGGGTGGTGGTGCAGTAAGTGGGTGGTGGTGGAGTAGGTGGATGGTGGTGGTGCAGTAGGTGGGTGGTGTTGGTGGTGCAGTAGGTGAGTGGTGGTGCAGTAAGTGGGTGGTGGTGGTGCAGTAGGTGGGTGGTGTTGGTGGTGCAGTAGGTGGTGTTTTTATAGTCATGTCGTGGAGGCTGTTAAGAGGTCATCAGTGGCGATGGCTGGGACAACAATAGCCTCGTCGAATGTCAGACAAAAGAGAATTGGTTCTCTTCCTCCTCCTACTCCTCCTCCTCTTCTTCGTCATCATTATCTTCCATTTTCCTCATTTGCCTTCACCACTTTATCATCATTCAGCTCCTCTTCGTCCTAGTGATGATGTTGCATGAAAGTGTGTGTTAAGGGTACAGTTAGTGGTTGTGGGGAGATGCAAAAAGGTCAGGGAAGCTGTGTGTCAAGTAACCTTTTTGACTAGCGTCGTATCTCTACCTGTGCCAGGGCGTGTAATGTGCTCGAAACATGATATTTTGGTTTAATCCTGTAAATCTAGTTAATGTGGTATTAGTTCATGAGAGGGATTACAGTTTATGTTCGGGATATTTTGGCCATATGATAAAGAATTGAAATTGTGATGGTAGAAATGTTAGTGGGTGAAATTAAAGGTAGGGGAAGACTGAGCTTGTGATTCATTAGTGAAGTTAAAAGCAGAGTCCTTGGAGATATATCTGGGAGGAATGAAAAAGACAGCGAAAATAAATACCCGGTATACAAATAAATCAAATAATTAATTTTGAGTGGTGGGCTGTGGTCGCCAGCTCTCAGTCTTGAGGATGGTATCGTGATTGATTTGTGCAGAAATCAATCACTATTGGGATTTTTAAATATCCTTTAAGTAATGAAGACGGCGAATCAGACAAGAGTTCTTCCGTCTGTCTGTTTTGCCCCTGGTTCTCGAATTTATAACATCACGTATTTACATAGTGAAATGCATTACAGTATTGTATCGGAAAGTATGATGCAACAACACCACTTCCAAAGCACACCTGCATTGAGACAACAGAACACAATACATCACATCAGAAGAAACAACCTGCCGATCGTGAACTCCCATAAGTACTGTACAGACTTGACCAACACTTGCAAACAGTGTTTTAACAGAACTGGACCCAAGCACCCGACCGACTAGTGAGCTATTTGACAAAGAAGTAAAGAGCATGAAGTGTGAGAATGTCTCCACGCTCATGAGTACGGATTCCCTTGAAGCTGGTAATGGCAGAAAGGTGGGAGGGGAGACAAGGCTGGGTGGACGCCGGATAAAATAACGCCGTACCTGATTGTAACAAAAGCCAGTTTAATTGAAACTCTTAAAAATAACGAATTGGAAGTCATCAGCTATTATTGGATTAGCCAATGGTGTGTACTTTTAAGACCGTGATATGATGAAATAAATAGGAGTATAGTATATTCAAAGAAGGTATGGGGGGAGAGGGGAAGTTTTCTACGGGCGTCGCCCTTTGTTGCCCTGGCTGGCACTGGTGGTGGTAGTCATTGTCAAGGAGCCAGCTTACATACATTCTCACGTGCCTCTTGACCCCACACACACAAACATACCAACCACTACTACCACCACTCATACCAACCACCACCACTATCATTTATATCAACCACCATCACTACCATTTATGCCAACCACCATCACCTTTCATACTAACCTCCAACACCGCCACCATTCGTACTAACCACTTACACCAACCGCCATCACCACCACCACTCATACCAACCACAACCACCATCACCACCACTTATCATTCACACTAACCACTATCACCACCACCTATTATTCATACTAACCATCACCACCCACACATCTACCTCCCCACCGAACATCAGGGTAAGAGGCAAATTGATAGGTGATGATGGTGATAGCTTTGTTGATACTGATGACAAGTGGGATACAGTATTGTTTGTGGAACTGCTGGTGGTGTTGGTGGAGGTAAGAAATAAGCATTTTTACCATACTGTTGGTTATAGTGTGGCTGGATGCACTTATTGTATTATCAGCTGGGGTGATGATGGTGAGAGTGGCAGTGTGGGTGGTTGTGGCAAGGGGTGTGAAGACAGCTATATATAACCAGGGAGGAACTGTTTACCCACAGCCTACTCCTGCTCACCCGTGTGACACAGGAGGCTTTTGCCTGTTTGAGTTAAGTATATGAGAAACACATGGTTCTTACTGGGCAGTGATACCTTTTTATAAAGACAATCACGTTTCCAAAAATTAGGAGTGAGCCTCCTTGAATTTCTTTGGTGGGTCGGAAGGGTCCTCAGTGGAACGGGGGCACTGATCCCTATCACAAGATTTCAGTTCTAAGTGAGTTGAGAGTCCCTTTGAACTTTGTGCTTGAAGTATTAGATAAATTGGTTATTCAGCTACAGTATGAGGATTTAGTAACTGATTTGTAGACTTTTTGAATTACTAGACTTGGAGTTTTAGAACAGAGTTGAATCTCAACTTTCAGTATGGTCAGTTGCTTCATTTGACAAAAATTTTGTGAATGAAGACATCTTCAGAGTTGGAATGAGAACCACTTCCATTAATTTGAAGGATGCCTCATGGCACATTCCTAATCACAAAGAGTTGTGGGAAGATACAGATCATTAAACTGGGTAAAGATTGTTTCCTGTTTTAAGTTCTTCCTTTTTGTTGGAAGTTGGCCCAGAGGATCTTCATGAAGCTTTCTGGAATCTGTTAGATGTTGTCTGCATAAAAATCAGTTTGCAATGTGTTTTTTTTCTGGATGATTGAATACAGTAATCTCAGTGTGTTGAAGGATGTAACTTTCAGTGGGCCCCCAAATTCGCAGATTGTTATTTCGCAGTTCTCTATTCGCGGATAACACCCTGGATGTACTCAAGAATGACAGTGGGTAGTTTTAAAGTTGTCGGCATTTTCGAGGCTGAGACAGAGAGTCATTCATTCTAAAGACAGTAATTTCCTTTACCTGTATTGTAAATATGTGTGTGTGTGTGTGTGTGTGTCTGTGTGTGTGAACACAAACATATGAAACATATACAAATAAATAATAATGGAAAATCTCTCACAAATAATCAGAAACAAATTGATTAAAAATGTTTTTACCTTCAAGTCCGTGCTGTATTAATAAAGTAATAAAGCACGGACTTGAGGGTAGACTCACATTTTTAATAAATGTGTTTCTGATTATTTGTGAGCTACTTTAAATGATTTTCCATTCACCAGGAGTAACATGTAACCTGTTTTTAATGAATGCTAATGTCGTGTTGCCCAGCATTAGGTATGTGTGTGTGTGTGTGTGTGTCTACACACACACACACACAGGTAAAAGAAATAATTGTCCTAAGGGAAAACACATAAAGGGAATATACATTTCTTTGTACACAAGTAAAAATGTTACAACCCCTTCCCCAACCAACAGCAAATGTTATTCACGGCCATTTTGAGAATCTAACCCCAGCGAATATGGGGGGCCCCTGTACGGCAGGTTCTTTGGTGAATAAAGAAGAGTCTGCATTAGTTCTTAGTCAGAATTTATGTAACTAAGTTTATAGTTGATTGTAGTAGAGCAAGTAATGTGACTTCCTCTGAGAAGGTTTGTTAGCTATGTATTCTGTTCTTTAAGGTGACAAATGTGAAGTACCGGTAGCTCTTGTTGTAAAACAATTATTTTTTTTTCTTATGAGTGTGGTGGTGTCTCGATCTAATCAGTCAAGGAGATGTGGGGATCCTGTGATACATTTTCTACAGGAAATTTCTTCTTCACTGGCATAACAGTAAGTTCTTGGATGAATTTGCAGTGTTCCATTCTTTGACCAAATAATTACAGAAGCTTGATTATGTGTGGGCATAACAAGTGCACTGTTGATCATTGAAAGTAAATTTTTTCCAACAGGTATCCGTTACTCTATGGATGTGTGTGCTGATGAGGTCAAAGCTCTGTCAGCCTTGATGACATTCAAGTGTTCCTGTGTAGATGTACCTTTTGGAGGAGCCAAGGCCGGTCTTAAGATCAACCCTCGTGTTTACTCAATCAATGAATTAGAGAAGATCACTCGCCGCTTCACCTTGGAACTGGCCAAGAAGGGCTTCATTGGTCAGTATTAGAAGCTTTGGCTATGGTAAATGAAGTTTTGGTAAGAATTAATCTTAAAGTCATTGGATTTTATATAGGAATTTATTTAATTTGATTTTATAGATCAAGTTCAGTACAGTATTTAAATGTTCATAAATTATTTAAGATTTTTCTATTTATTTGCATTAATTTGGGGAGAAAACTGTAGATTTTGCTTGTTAATATCAGTAATAAAGGTACCTAATGTGTACCACAATCATTTTTTTTTAATTTGCAGTTAAAGTTACAGTATTGAACTGAACTGCAGAATCAACAGTCAGCGTGGACAGGATCCAGAATGATTATTTAATTATCAAATTAACAGTGATAACAGGTTATGTTCCAGTAACAGTTTATAAAGATACTCCTCTTAATAAATTTTACATGTAGGGTACACAATAACCAATATTTTTATTTGGCTAGTTTTTGAATACCTGTTTGTCTATGACTATCATTGCCTCAGAACACTGGTGCATCTGCACCTTGCCTGTACATTTCTCTCCCCAGATTTGACTATATTCATCTAATCAATATGTCATTACTTTTTTGTGTGTCATACTTTTTTCTTCCATCAAGCACATTACATCATTATATTATTGTTTTTCTGCATCATCATATTATTATCTCCCTTGTGGCAATTCATGTCTTTTTTTTTTTTTTTTATTATTATTATTATTATTATTATTATTAAGTGTCCTTCAAGCATTTCCTTAACACTGTATGTTCATATGTATGTTCATACAATATACAGTCTCTGTCTTGTAAAATCACTTGACAAGAGAATGTACTTTATACTGTACTGTATTACTGTGCATGCGTTCTTGTATTATATGAATATATTTGCATATACTCGTACTTGTATTGTACGTAGTACATTACATTGCAATCTCTCCAAGTTTTCAATATCTTCATCTTCCCGATTTTTCAACTTTTTTCTCTCCGCATCACTAATATTTTCTAATTTTTCAGGATTCTTGTGACTTGTTTCCCTCAATATGCTCTTTTTTGTGTGTGTGTATGTAAACGGTGTTAACTTTTCCCTTTTCTGTGATGTATTAATTTCTTATCCAGTTACAATAGTCAGTAAAGTCAACTTTAAGTGGCACTATCAGTGTACTGTACAGGTACTTGATTCTTTTGATAGTCATTCACAACAGTCCTGATGAGTAATGACAATGATAGAGGGAGAATTACAGAACATATTGTACTATACTGTATATATACAGTATGTATTTAAATTTTTTCTCCTTTTGCCTTCTACGTTAATACATTTGTTTTTCCTCCCATTGATACACATTTGTAAGTACACTCAGTAGCATGATGATTTAAAGAATGTATCGCACATGCTGCTAGGCCCGGGTGTGGATGTACCAGCACCTGATATGGGCACTGGTGAGCGAGAGATGTCATGGATTGCTGATACTTACGCCAGGACCATTGGTAAGATGGCACCCTTCACTCCCGAGTGTTTTGCATCCTTCGCTTTGCCACTTTCCTTCTAGTCTTCTAATGATTAATGAAGGTTAGGGGAAAGCATTGTGAATGAAAGGAGAACAGAGATATTGCAGATGCGGGCTACCCAAGATGGTTGTGCGGGAGAGACTTCCTTCAAGTGATCGTGGTGGTGTAACTAGGTCAACATTTATAAGCTTTGTTGTCATGAGTTTGTAGGCACAATTTTCTCATTTTAACCATGGAGAAAATTGTGTCATGAAACTTGTGCAATAAACAAAAAAAGAATGTTGATCTAGTCATGAAAGTGGGGTCTCCCATTTTAAGGAGTGCCTAATGAACTCCACAGGCCCCGGTGTGGATGTACCGGCCCCCGACATGGGTACTGGTGAGCGGGAGATGTCATGGATTGCTGACACCTATGCCAACACCATTGGTATGTTGTAACTTTAATGAAGGCCTCTGTCCAGTGCCATAATGTATTACACTTGAGGTGTATATGTTCTAAGTGTACAGTATTTTTAATTTATTATTATTATAAAATGAGCCTGCAAATAGGTTTTACAGCTCTCAGCCTCACATTGTTGCAACAAAATTTTGACTCGCAGCACACTTGAAACAAAATTCTTAAGAGTATACATGACAGTCCAAGAACAGCACCTGTGACACCATAATAAGGCACTCTCCTATGATAAAATTAAAGAGGAAGAAATTCTGTATATATCACCATGATTAACTGCCATAATTGTGAGGAGCAGAGCTACAACCTGGAAGACTAAAGATGTTAACAGCTAACCAAGTGCAATATCATACACCAATACTGCTTATCAGTTGAACATGCACTTGTGATTGAATAAATTGATAAGTTTTGCCATTTCTTTGAAGCATGTTTGTGTACATTGATGTATAGTATGAAGGAAGAGCAATGTAAATTTTAAGTAAAAAGAAAGACCTACAATATACTGTACAGTATATAACTTTAAGACATGGACAAGTCAATCGCTTCCCCTAGCCTATGTAAAGACTAAAGTACAGTACAATACTTAATTTGCTTGAAGATAAAATGTAGGTGATCTAGTTTCTGTTTTTGCATGATATTAGTTTAAGGTTTTTCTGTCTTGTATAAATTTATGCTTTATATACCTTGTGTGTGTGTACTGTATATATATATATATATATATATATATATATATATATATATATATATATATATATATATATATATATATATATATATATATATATATATATATATATATATATATATATATTATATATATATATATACACACAGTATAATTGTTGATGTGTTTGTAGAATAAATCAATAGATTTTAGCGTAGAATTCTTTGCTTTTAATATATTAACCTCAAGTTTTCAAAAGTTTTAAGATGTGTTTGAATATTAATGTAAGGTTAGTACTTTATATTGATTACATTATTTATCAATATGTCTGTTGTATATATCTTCTGGTATATAAGAATTGTTTACATTAGCCAATATTTAATATCTCGTAATCATGTGAATTGTATTGAATTTAAAAGAATTATATGATAGCTTTCACTGCAAATCATGGTGTATGCCTGTAGTACAATTCAGTAAATGTGACAGAAATTCCTAATATTGCAGTTTATGTGACTTGAAGTAACAGTACAATCTTGCGCTACGTATTATTTAATGTTATGTCAGGAGGTTAGAGTACAGTTTCTTTTAAACACATCTAGTATGTACATCAGGTAACTGTAGCTAACCCACGTAAGCGTGGAAGATGGCCATAAAATAATGTTGATATCTTTAAGGGGCAAAACTATGTCACAATACTTTCTTAAGCTGTCCGGCTGCATCGTGTATATCAACTTCCACACCATTCACCATACAGGGGGCCCCCAAATTCGCGGATTTTTATTTCGCGGTCCTCTATTATTCGCTGATGACACCCTGGATGTACCCAAGAATGTCTGTGGGTAGTTTTAAAATTGCCAGTATTTTTGAGGCTGGAACAGGGAGCCATTCGTTCTAGAGACAGTAATTTCCTTTACCTGTACTGTATTGTAAATGTGTGTGTTTGTGTGGACACATGCACAGAACACATATATGCAATGCAGGTAAAAGAAATAGTTGTCCTAAGGGCAAACACATAAAGGGAATATACATGTCTTTGTACACAAGTAAAAATGTACACCCCCCTCCCCCCCTTCGGCAAACATTATTTGCAGATTTGGCGATTCACGGCCATTTTGAGAACCTAACCACCACGAATTTGGGGGCCCCTCTGTTCTTGATTACACACTGGTATTTGCACTGTATTTGTAAAAACACAGCACAATTTTACTACAGTGTATTACATTTCTCATGTGTAACCACTTACCTGGTTACACTATTTATCTCTTTGCATCACTGTACTTGCTATGTATAGCTTCACCACTTGCAGCTTGATTACCATATTTTATTGGAATTTAATTTGATGGTTATATGTGATTATTGAATTGAAAAAAAAAATATTCCTAAATAGTGGGTCATGTGATCAGGGAATTTAAATTACAGGCATCCCACGGTGTACAAAAATTTGCAGTTAATGAACAAATTTGATTTTTTAAGCAAAATTTAATACACACAGAATTTATTCTTGACTTACTCAACGTGGGGGAAAAATTAGTTTTGGGTAAATTTCAATATTTCACTTAACACAAGTTACTGTAATCTATGTTAGCTAAAGATAACGTTGAAAAAGTTATATACCAAGTCATCTTAGCTCCCAGGAGACGAATAGTACAGAAATCAGTAACTAGACAATGACCCAGAATTGGTTAGCACAGTAATTAGTCACCTGGCTACAGGCTCTGTATGAAGTTTGAATTTCTGAATATTATTTGTTTTCTTTGAGGTTGGAGATTATTTCTGTATCCTTAAGTTTTAGGTCATTGATTAAAACATGGCTGAAGCGTTGGTTAGAGCATCAAAGAATTGTAGTAATTATCTCTTGCTTGTTCTTTAAATAAAGATTAAATGAAATATATGAAAATACTCTGTGGCCAGATTAAAAATCCATCACATAAAGAATAATTAATTAGGAGTGAGAGTATGGTACTTTCATTTATGACAGGAACCAGCTAGTATGTTAGAACATTACTTTTAATCAGGTGTGAAGTTTCTCTTTAAATATTTATAGTACTTTTATAAATGAGGTAAACCTGATTTGAGTTTTTCTCCCACTGTTTGTAGCTCACAGTTTGCTTCATTCATTGTAGGTCATGATGACATCAATGCTCATGCATGTGTCACTGGAAAGCCAATCAACCAAGGTGGAATCCATGGTCGCACATCAGCTACTGGACGTGGTGTCTTCCACGGTCTTGAGAACTTTATTAATGAAGCTTCATATATGTCTATGATTGGCATTACTCCTGGATGGGGCGGTAAAACCTTCATTGTACAGGTATGTAATTTGTATTATCAGTTATGATGTGGAAATCAAGATTCTTATACTAAGATCGACTGCTGAATAGAATCAAAGCATCAGATGATGTTTGTGTGTAGATACATGACCAGATTGATCATTGCAATCATGATGGAATGTATTGTTCCAGCCGACTGTCAGAAGAGTGTAATTGTGAATTCTTACAAGAGTAAATGTGATGTGCTTAAGTGTGGGAACTGCAGGGGCCTGAAGCTGCGATATTAGGTTGTGAAAGTTGTGGAAAGAGTAGTTAAGAAATTGGTAGAGGATGGAATGGGCAATATTGAAATGCAATTTGGGTTTCTGCCTGGTATGGGGCAACTAAAAGTGAAATAACTAGGGAAGTAGAGAAAGTTATACTTGTACTATGTATATGCAGGCAAGAATGACATAGGGAGAGATTAGAGCCTGATGAGAAAGGTTGCAAGAATTCATGCAGCTTGAATTTTTCTAACATAATATGTCGTGCACGAGGGAGTGCTTGTGTTCAAAGAGTAGGTAGATGACAAGTAAACATTGAATTTATAGTGGAAATCCTTATAATAACATGATAGGATATGTGTTTTGGAAGGATATGTGTTTTGGAGATCACTGATAATTACTCTGTCTGTGTGTCCTTGACAAGAAGGAACTGAGTTTGGCAACCAGCAGTTTGCATACCCACCCACAGGCTCACATCCCTAAGGATGGTCTGTGTCTACCCACTTCTTTATTCTGAGGAAAGAAGTAGAAGACTATAAAGTCACTTCAGAGGATGAGACATCAACAAATATTAGTCATGTTCACCAACAAGAGTTGATGGATGGAGAGTGGCTAAGTTAACAAACTTGACAGAAACCCTCACCTAATCCTCCCTCCCCTTTCCCAAACAGAACTCTGGTTCAAATCCTGACAATCTGAAGCCACATACCAAATTAATTAACAAGATTTAATAATCATTGATTATATCATGATTCATAATATGTAATGTAATGCTCAATTAGAACCCCAGTGGTAATTATAATCTTGTAAAATATCCAATAAGGTTAATGAGTCGTTAATTAATTAGGTTCAATTACTTTCAATCTGCTATTCTGTCAGCTGGTACCGATTCTCTTGTTCTCACCCCTTGGTAGGATGTTAGTCCACCAAAAGTTTTATACTATTGGCAAGTTTACTCTCCAGTTTACTTTTTTTAGTGCTTGGTGTGTAATTGATGGGTTACACGGAAACAAATTACCCTTCCACTCCTATCAGGGTCAAATCATTGACCATCCGCTTGTGAGGTGAACATTTAACCATTGACTTACGAAGGACATAACATTTGAACATAAATTTGTTCTTAAATATTATATTACTGATCATTTCTAGGGCTTCGGCAATGTGGGTCTGCACTCAATGAGGTACCTCCATCGTGCCGGTGCTACTTGTGTTGGCATTAAGGAAGTTGATGGTGAGATCTACAATGCAGATGGTATTGACCCCAAGGTGAGACACCCACTACTGTAATTTTATTTTATATTTGTGATACCTGCAGTTAAGGATAATTTGTTTTAAGTACAGTACTGCTGATTACCTATTAACTTCCATGATTATTATTAAATTATTATTACTATTATTTTTTTAATAAAGTTTAGTATTTTGTGTGTAACAGTATGAAAAATGGGGGAAAAGGGTGCTTTTGGGCAGGTCATTAGAAAATATACAAGTGTTAATGTATAACCCTGCAAGAGTGGTTACTATATGGAAGTTGATACCAAATTTGTACACAAGATAAGTTATGAAAAACAAAATATAGAAGGGAGATAGAGAGTATTAAATGTTAGTACCTCCAGTCGTTTACTGTCATTCTTTTCTACCACTGTTGCCAAGCCACCTCAACAGACTTCACTTAGTAGTTTAACAATTAGCACACATACCCACCCACCCAGATAGCATTATTTGGCTTCATGTCTTGTAAACAGACTTGACAACTACCCGGGGCAACCTTTCCACGAATTGTCCTAACACATATCAGTTTATTAGTACAGTATTCACTGACATGCTGGCTGCAGGCCCACAACTGGCAAGGACTTACACTGGTGAATGAATTATTTCCATTCTTTGCCATTGTACAGGGTATTATGACAAAACCCTCATTACATTGGTATGTAAGTACATGGCACGATTAAAGTCCTGTGCAAGATATTCATGGCAAGAATAACTTTTACCTGTGTATGTTACCCATTTTATTTAAGAAATGTACATTACATTTTTTTTTTTTTTTTACAATTTATTGACAAAGCTTGGAGTACAGTTTGCCTATTCTGAGTAATTCAGTCAGGTTTTAACACTGAGGGTGGTATCACTTCTCACTGCCATGCAGGACAGAGGTTCATACACAAAGAAATACATCATATTCATTAACAATATATATAGGTCAGATTCATGGTGATGTCACTGTTCACTGTCATGCAGGACAGAGGTCCGTACACAAAGAAATACATCATATTCATTAGCAGTATATATAGGTCAGAGTCATGTGGGTGATGTCACTGTTCACTGCCATGCAAGACAAAGGTTCATATACATTGGACGTCATATTCTAATTGAAGATTAATCAGTGTGGGCTGGCAAATTTGGGATAAAGAGCAAGAATGTCCTCAAGCACCCTCGATTCAATGTAGTAATTACAAAGTTCATGATTCAATAAGCCAGGTGGCCTGAAGTCTTTGACAGTGTCACATTCAATAATATAGTGTTTAAGTGTATGCTTTAAAGGTTTATCACAAAGTTTACATGCTGAGTGTTCCGGTATGGGTACAGCGTTACTAACTTGCCAGATGTGTCTGTATCCTAGCCTAATTCCGGCCACGACTACATCACATTGTTTGGTTCTGTCCTTATGCTGGCCATACCGGTACCTCTCGTCACAAAATTTGTCATATTTACTAGTGCTACAACTGCCAGGTCTCTGCATTTCTCAGTTCTTCTAGATCAGACTTCATGATTCTGACTTGAATGTTTTTAAATACATTACATAAGTAAAATTTATTTATAGGAACTTGAAAACTGGAAGATTGAAAATGGAACAATTATGGGCTATCCGGGAGCTCAGACTTATCAGGGTGAGAACCTGCTTTATGAGAAGTGTGATATCCTCATCCCTGCTGCCATTGAGAAGGTCATTCACAAAGGAAATGCTCATAAGGTCCAGGCTAAGGTAATCTATTAAGCATCAGTGTTCACATGTTATGTAAACAACCTCCTGGGTTAAGATTTTTAATGAATTTTATTTTAGGTCCTAAGTTAAATAATTTTTAACCAGGATATTTTTAATTTATCATATTTCTGTTAATTTATTGTATTAATTATTAACTTAATATTTAATGCTTTATTATTAGGCATGCCTTTTTCTCTATTTTTTCTCTCTAAATCATTCTTTATTAGTCTTAAAAATGACTAAATAAATTTACCTCTTCGTTAAATCTCTTATGGCTTGACATAAAGATATGTAATCAATTGCTATAAGGATGGAATATCCTAGTGGCCATTTTAGGATCTAATTTGGTACTCTGCTGTGGGAAGGGGTAGTTCTTATTTGAACGGTACAGTAAACCCTTGGTATTCGCTGGGGTTAGGTTCCAAGGAATGACTCAAATTGGCAAAACTGCAAATAGCAACCCATGCTACCTTAGTGCACTACTGTGTATGAAAAACTTGTCTCCAATACTACTGTACTCTCCTTTGTATGTGGAAGTTTGGAGCTTGATGAAGTGTACTGTACAGTAGAATGAAATCTGGTTACTGAAGCATAGGGAGATCATCAGGATCACTGTTGGAAGAGGGTGATGCAGTAGTGGTTGTTGGAGAGGCGGATGATGGGGTAGCATGTGGCGGGGAGGTGGGTGGTGGAACGGCGACAGCTGACTGAGTAAGTGAGGGAGATGAATCAGTTGGACAAGCGGCTGGTTCTTCCTTGAAAAACATTGTGATTGGTACTGTTTCCTCTTGGCTTTGATGTTTCATTCCACTAGCACTGGCACTAGACAGTCTTTTAGGGGCCATTTCACACAAAAACACTAAAGTTATGAGTACAACACAAGAGATGCTGCATCGCAGGCTATGATTGAGCAAAAAAAAAAGGAGAGGAGGTGCTGCAGGCGCGTGGGAGTGACTCATTGCACTGCGGGAGAGGCTCGTAAGCTAGCCACCATCTGCTTACTGCAAATAGTTGAAATCGCGAATCACAAAACTGCTAATAACAAGGATTTACTATAGTTAGAAAATATTTCTGCCCTTCAAATTTGGGACAGTTATTCCTAGGATTGTGTATTATTGTATGTATTTTTCAGAGTAATGGGTCCTCATCTGAGCTGAATATAATTGTCTGGTGTTAGCCAAATGAAATATTAAAAGTGGCATCCCCATAATGAAGGAGCTAATAGATATAATTGGGGGTGTCATATTATACAGAAAATATTATCACAAGATTCTACTGTAGTTGTTTGAAAATTATCCTAACTTGCAAATATATGGTACCAATCTTCCTTGCAGATTATTGCTGAAGCAGCCAATGGCCCCACCACACCTGCTGCTGACAGTGTACTTCGGGACATGAATGTGTTGGTCATCCCTGATTTGTACATTAATGCTGGAGGTGTGACTGTTTCATACTTTGAATGGTTAAAAAATCTCAACCATGTGTCATATGGTCGACTCACCTTCAAGTATGAAAGAGAATCCAACTACCATTTACTGGGTAAGTGATTAGCTTTTATATATATATATATATATATATATATATAATACATCAGGGAAGTCTGTACTCCCAAGATGTGAATACATATGTTATATATCTATATATATATATATATATATATATATATATATATATATATATATATATATATATATATATATATATATATATATATATATATATATATATATATATATATATATATATATTCTATATATATTCAGTATGTTAAGCTGCTTAACCCTCTTGTGCACGAGATAAGCTCCAAGTTTTCCAGTTCCAAGATCACATCTCTGAGGTCCCCAGGTCATGCGAGATAGTGCACAGTGAATATTTTTTATTTTTTTTTTCTGCTCTGTCAATTTCCTCCAAAACTTGTTTTTATTGGCATAAACCAATACAGGGCGTCCTTGCCTAACGTCGGGGTTACCTACCTGAAAATGCGACATTACGCGAAACAACGTTGAGCGGATCAGTTTTCTTCATAAGAAATAGATACAATACGGGAGTTACATTCCTGAGCCTCCCTTTGCCCCATGAAAAACATTACTGTACATATACAGAAATTCATTGCCATTTTTATAGAAAATAGTATATATACATTACTGTATATAGAACTACAGTACTAAGTTTGTACAAGTATTGGTACTCACCGATGGGCAGAGGTGGTAGAGCGAGTGTATGGTGGGTAGTGGAGCGAAGGAGGAGCAGAGGAGGTGAGTGGTGAGTCACTGAGACTGCGGCTGCCTCCTCCTCCTCCTCCTCTGACTGGGGTTCCTCCGCAGCTGCTTGCTCCTCCTCGGCTGCCGGCTATTGTGAAGAAGCTGCTTCTGTCCTCCCTCCAATGTTGTCGATTGCAAGAAGAATGTTGAAGCCACGCCAATATTCTCGGATCGTTGGTTTATTTTCTCCGTCTGTAGCCTTGAGCAGCTGGGCCATGGTACGGTGTAAATAGTACGCCTTGAATGCGGCGATGACACCTTGGTCCATGGGCTGCATCAGTGCTGTCGTGTTAGGAGGCAGGAATACAACTTCTACACTGTCAAGCAAGTCGTTGAGATTGGGAGGATGAGCTGGAGCATGTCAAGGGTCAGAAGAAATTTGAAGTTAAGGTTCTCCTTGGCGCAGTATTCCTTCAGTGCAGGGACGGCGTACACGCTCAACCACTGGCTAAATATGGCAGCAGTTATCCATGCCTTCTTATTTGTCTTGTAGATGACAGGAAGGTGATCCTTTGAGTAACTTTTCAGGGCCCGTGGGTTGGCAGCGCGAGAAATCGGCATAAGTTTCAGCTTCAAGTCACCGGCAGCGTTCGTACCAAGCAGCAGTGTCAAGCTGACCCACGCAAGAGTGAAAAATGGCCTTAAAACTTTCATGGTGGTTATATGTACTACAGTACATTAAAAGTTTTGCTATTTTTCATTAAATATATACCAATTGATAATAGTTTTAGGATGGCTTTGAATAAACTTTTAAATGACCTAATAAAACAGTACTAGTTTTTTGTTTAATTCATCAAAATAACTTCATTGGCAAAAAACCCACTAATGTGTTACTACATTAGAAATAATGCTATAAAGATGGTGGGCTTAACTTTCAGTCTGACTGTAACCTGTAGATTTGTTATATATTATTGTTGATGTTAGTATCCTATATTTAAATTTTACTTAAGATTCTTTAATTATTGTTTTTTTTATTTATGTAGTGCCAACTGAAAAACATTTGTGATTTTATTTTATTCATTTAATGCTTGTAATCTGCTTTCAGGTGAACCAAGATGTGCAGTGATGAACTAAATTACTTTTTTTGCAGACTCTGTGTCCCATTCCCTGTCCAAACACTTTCAGCAAGATTTTTCTGTGACTCCTAGTGAAAAGTTTGCCCAGCGCATCGCTGTGAGTCACACTGTGTCTTACCCAGATATCTGCTATGATTATCCTTCTGTTTATGTTTTATTATTTATGTATACAATTTTGCTAGCCCTTTATCTTCCACATGTGCTTTCTGTTTCAGCTTTATCCTGCACCCACAGACCTTAAAGAGGGTTGTCTGTACATGCATCACCTTTACTTTTATCATTAAATGAATACTGCTCTGCACAAGAGTTAGATATTTTACCACTTTTCCAATGCCTTGCTCACCTTGTGGTACAAAGGCTCAAAGAACTCTAAGAATGAAAATGGAACATGAAAAACTAAACATTTAAGTATCCCCATTCAGGAAAATATCAGCTCTGGGATCAAAGCATTAAGATACATGTTGCTGCAAAATCTCCTCACATAATCAGTTCCACTAACCCTACCACCCTCTCTTGTATAATTTAACTTATTAAATTCGTATTACGAGCAAGAATATCCCTCCTACAGAATCTGTTCAGGAGTCACTTGAGCGGCGATTTGGTCGTGTTGGTGGCAAGATTCCCATCGTACCATCTGAGTCTTTCCAGGACCGCATTTCTGTACGTAATCATATCGTAAAATCCACTAACGCTAAAACTCATGTGTATGTGGAACTAACTAACAAGTTGCATAAATGCAGCAGTTAAAGTGTAAGACTTGCATTTTGCAGAGACAATTTAGTAATTTTACTATTCAGTAGTAAAGTGAACTGGAAGATCCATTTGAGATATTGGTTACTCTTTAGTTTTATAATTACATTTGACACTACGATTTCTGTATGTGACCCCCCAATCTTTTCATATACACACACACACACACTTATTTTTAAGTGTATGCAAGTGACATCTGCTTCACTCGCATAATAGCCAAGTTAATATGCAGGTTTCTTTTGCAAATGTCTTAAGCATCAATGTTTTGGGCCTCTGGCACTTGAGGGTGTGGAGTTGATCTTCATTGAAATTTTCTAGGAAAATTCTGCATGTGTCCCTCTTCTGTAAATGTGGGAAAAGTTGTACTTGGTAAAGAGAAGTAGAGAAATAGTGTCTTGTGTGTGCATGTGCATAAGTGTGGCAGGAGAAAAATACGGTTGCTTGTGGTATCGGGCTTAGTAAATTCTGAATTGAAAGTATTTTGGCGTTCAGTATATTGTTGTAAGATTGATTTATAGAAGGGGATGAATACAGGTAGTTGATGAAATTGTGTATGCCTCTGTTAACAGCCCTATATTTGTATGTTTAAGTTTCCTTTCTTTGTTTCCTCAGTTGAAGATCAGGTTATGTACTGTTTTATTATTAATACTCTTGTTGTTTGTTTATGTAGTACAATGATTACAGTACGTTTTTTCCCAGCTGAGAAAAGATGCCCCACCCCCTCCTCAATAGTTACAGCTGATTGACTGTTGCAAATCTGTTCGATTTCATCCTGAAGTAATAATGTACTGTATTTTTAAATGAGTTAATTCATAATCGTTGGGATGACCGTTTCTGACGAGAAAGATATTTAACTAAATTATATAAAGATACATACATTCATTATTTCAAACAGGAGCATGTAGGAAGTTTATCAGAAATCTTATACATGAATTAACTGTTAAACTCTGGTAACAAATTCACGCTTTCGGAGGAAACATTTAATATATTATTATTTTTACCTACAATAAGGCATACTAAGACAAATTACGTATCAGTAAAACTACATTCTGCAAAAACTAACATTTTAAAAGATCAGAATCACACTGAAATATGAAGTTGTTCACAGTTATATTTCCCACTTCAGCTGACGGCTGTTCGCAGGAGCGGCCAAGTCTGTCGCACTCATCCACCAATTTTCAGAGGCCGTGTAATATTTCAGTGTGATTCTGATCTTTAAAAATGTTAGTTTTTGCAGAATGTAGTTTTCTTTTCTCCCTTTAAGCTTTTTTATAGTCTCATCATTTACTAAAGTTTTTTATATTAGTGTATTATTGCTGCTTCTTTTTATTATGCTTCCCAAAACCAGGGAACTTAAAGTAATTTTGTCTGTACCTGTGTCTCTCGGTCCAATCATTAACTTCTTAACTGAAGGAGGAATTGAAATCAAACTTTTCAAAATTACAAGTCTTGGTTGGAGAGGTTTTTTTAATCAGGCGATACGCTGAAAGTTCAAGTAATAAACAAGGTTCGGTGATTTATTCTCTCTACCCACACTGTACCTGGAAGAGTCCCCCCCCATCCTCATGAATGTACAGAGTTTGATTTTGGTTATCGCATATATATATATATATATATATATATATATATATATATATATATATATATATATATATATATATATATATATATATATATATATATATATATATATATATATATATATATATATATATATATATATATATACAGTATATATATATATATATATATATATATATATATATATATATATATATATATATATATATATATATATATATATATATATATATATATATATATATATATATATATATATATATACTGTCGAAGAAAGGGTAGTAATATTACTATCACTATTTTCATAAAGCAATACATAGTGTTTAAGTTTTTCATTAATTGTCAATGTTGTGATAATTAGTGGGATAATGTGTATATATTGTGTTTGTTGTTTTTTATATATGAGGGATGCTATATCGGTTCTTGAATAGGATTACCCTCCCTGAATTTTCAGCCTGCTTACATTGTCTATTGCTTGGTCTATCAGGCTGTTTAAATAATAAATTTCTTCATAATGTGAATGCTCCCATTAACACACTTCCCGCTATATAATTCCACAATTAAATCATGCCAAACGGTTAAACTGTGTGTGCTTGGTTGCATTGTTTTCCTTCCGGTTGTTTGAGTTGGTCCACTATAGAATGTTTGGTCTGTGAATGATAGGAATATTAGTCTTACACTTTAGGATATTTTTCGGTATAAGAAACTTTACAACGTACTGTATGAGTACAGCTAGCTGGGTCATGTAGTTTAGCAGGAATAATATCAAATTTTAAATAATTTATAGAACTCGTTTAAGTTCACTGCAGATTCTCCATATTATTTACAATAAGGAGATTATCAGAACTTAATCTTAGTTCCAGGGAACTTAATGGAATGTAATCTCACTGTGATACAATATGTATAAAATTTTCGAATTTTTCATTCTGCTTAGCATAATACAGTGTTTGGGATTGTAAGTACAGTATCACGTTCATCAAGAGTATGGAATTAACTTCATCGTACCTAATAGAACATCAAAGAAAAAATGAGACCATCTTCACTACAATCATAAATTGACAATGGTTGAAGAATTTTGAAAGTAAGAGCACTCCTACAAAGAGTGTAATGAATACTTTCTCAAGACATAGAATGTGCGTGCAATTATTCTTGTTTTGGTGTATAGTTTGTCATTTACCAAGTCTATGGTAAAACTTTCTTTACTAATGCCGTGAAAATTTATGGCCCCATCAAGATGCATGTCTTAACAGACAGCCCTGCAGGTCATTTCCATGATTTAGCCTTTGTATTTTATTATGAGCCTTCATATTTTGCAAGATTATTATGTCATGCATCTGTAGTAGAACTTCATATTTTGCCTCAAGTCCACTATTTAGTTTGAGTTTAGTATCCTCACCATTAATCATTGTTTCACATCTCATCATCCAGAAAATCAGGTGAATTGAAAAATACATTGCAGTGAGTAAAGATATAAATACTGAAAGATGTGTAAGGAAAACCAATCCCTCTAAAGTGCATGTTGCATGTCATCTCTGAACTTATGCTGATTATTTTTCACATTTTGCTCCATAAAGGAATGCTGATATAATAGAATGCTTTATGGTCTTTTGTGAATAATTTTCTTTCAGATAATCTAAATATGTGCAAAAGATTGCAGAAACACTTAGTTGTGAAGTGCTTAGAGGCCAACCTGTATTTGATGCTTGTACCCCTGTATTTTGTGAAAGCAATCATGAAAGACAAAAAATATATAATATAAGTCAACACAGAGAAAGTATACATTCTAATGAGTAGTTATGTACAGTACTTCAGAAAGTGTTGGCTCTGAGTGACAACCATGAAATGTCATTAAAAATTTCTGTTCTGTTGTGTGAGCAGTGTTTCTGTGAGAAAAACATTACCATGAATGTGCAATTTGATTTCAGCATAGGTACTGTAGTTCTTGCCATAAAAAAGGAGGGCGTTCTGTGGAAGGCATGTGTAAAATGAAATTTCATATACAGGTAGTGAAATAAATTTTCCATGCATGTATAATGGAGCATAATGGTGGGAATGTATGAGTGCTAATTGTGGAAGTGATTTTCATTTGTTTGGAAATAAAGAGACATATATGCTATGGTTCAAGGAAAGAATGGACTGAAAAAAAAAATGGGGTTGTTGAGATGCTTAGAGTATTTAGATAATGAATAAAAAATAAAGGAGTAACTGGGAAGTGATATAAATAACAAAGATGAAGTAGGAACCAAAACTAAATGGAAGGACAGAAGGAGAGAGTATGCAAAACAGAAGTGGGTGAATTTGAAAATGTCTTGAGTTGAGGAAAGTTAGAATAGTATTAACAAGACTGATTTTTCTGAGTAATTGCAAATACTGTTTACTAGTTAATGCTGTAGTTAAAATCAACAGCTGCCAAGGGGATAGGAAATGTACAATACTATATTTATTATTTGCAGTTAAATGTAGTTACAGAATATGTAAAAAAAAGGGGGGGGGGAGGAGTTGGGGAAAGCAGTAAAAGGAATGATGGATGTAAACACAAGGTATGTAGTTGGTCGTGTATGAGAAGGAGGAGGAGTAGAATTGTGAAATGTAAGAATAAACCACCAGTGCAGAGGTTATGATGCCTTAAACACAAAGTCAGTCCTCTCGTCAAGGATGATAGAGAGAAAATAATGATATTCTCAGAAAGTGTTGAAGGGAAGTGAGGTTAAAGAGCATTGGAGACAAAAGTTAAGGAAAAAAAAATATGAACCATTAAGTATGGTGAGGCTTAAGTGTGTCACCCATCCTGTAGTATGTTTAGGAAATATGGGACTGTATTAAAATTTCAAGCAGATGAGTTGAATTATGACGGAAATGGATATAAACTTCTAATAGTGGATATACTAAGTAAACTTGAGAATTATGTGAAAATGCAGAAGTAGTAGTAGTTAAACTAAATGAGAACACCAACATTAATTAATGCAAATCAGTACAGGGGAAGAACAGAAGAAAGGACTGATGAATTAAGTTGAGGTTGGAATTTCATAAATATTATGTGAACAATATGTACAGGATATTTTGCATGGGCTATCATGTTGAATAGCGAAGAAGTTTCGCCAGAAAGGGTTCCTTAATTGCTTATATAAAGATCACTTTCTCAGCTGGCTGGAATTAAATGATTTTTCAATCTACTGATTTTTATGCATGAATCCCTGAGATGTTTAAATGTATTCTTTCCCACATTTAATAGATTTTTATCTTTCCTAGCTGTTTGTATCACTTCTCTGTATTATATTGTATATTCCATCTCCCACCACTAGGTTTAAGCAGATAAAACCTTACAAATGGATCTTGGCACTAGTTCTTAGATTCTTGTCTCAGTACACTCCTTGCACACATTTGCTCCTTTAGTTTCTCCTTCTATTGTACCAGTGGCCTTCCTTAATGTTCACTCTTACTTATCACATTTGACACTTAATGTTTGGGTGCAATATGTTTATATAATACATTATTTAATTCAATATACCCTGTACAGGGTGTTTGTAAATAGCTATGTAATTATTACTGACCAACTTTTTTGTTTTTGTCTTTGAGGCAAAGGCAGCAGTTGTAATGAAGAATCATATTGCAGTCAATGCCACCAAGTGGTGACCAGTTCACATAATTTTAATTACATTGAATAGATCATGTTTCACTGGGGGGGGGGAGGGGGTTAAAAGCACACCATTTTATTTTTAGCTTACAGTATAAGTTTCAGTTAAGACAACTTAAGGCATAACTAGGTTATGGACTGTTGGTAGTTACTTAATAATTAAGCTTATCCTGTTGAAATTTGCCTGCCTGCAAGTGTTACACCTGTTGTAAATATTGAGCATTGTCCCTTTTCTTCTTACAATATTGTCTTTATCTTAGATTAGTTGATCTGTGACTTTATAAACATATCTTTTTTACAGGTATAGTAGGACAAGTAATTTAAGCTTCTGAACTATATACTGTATGCATAATTTTACTGTATAATGTATTGTCAGCAAAAAAAAGTTCTTGATCACCTGGGCCGGACAGATTTCAGAATGAGCAGTTTGGCTCTCATCATCTCAGAATGGTTGGTATGCCTAGTTGAGAATTTGATCTTTATAGTATTTAAAGGTGAAAAAAAAGTACTGTAAGTTAGTTTGCAATAAAACTTACTCGGAGGGCAATGTTCAGATTTCTCATTCATTTTGTCATATTGTATGACACTTGCAGCGTTCAAGAACTTTTTTTGTTGACTGTACATTACGAGTGGTTTATTGCTACTGAACTGTGGGAGCTGACTTGCACTTAACTTATCTGCTCTTCAAGATGCATAGTAGCTCAACTATTTTCTAGGTGCATAGAATGACCCTTAACTACAATTTTTGGTAATGTTTAACCACCGTACTGCTTTGGTTACTTCATCAGTTATCTTCGGATATTGAATGTTCTTGGTTAAGAATGAAACACTCAGATTTTTGATTGCATGTTGCATTTTATTGATATAAACAAAGTAGATTGCCAATATGCATTATCATTAAGATTTAACATTTTAATTGACAAATAATATACTCTCTAAGGATTATATATATATATATATATATATATATATATATATATATATATATATATATATATATATATATATATATATATATATATATATATATATATATATATATATATATATATATATATATATTACTGCTTATAGTTTAATTAATGTTCTAAATATTCATACACATTATATTTTTGATACAGGGTGCCTCTGAAAAGGACATCGTCCATTCTGGTCTGGATTACACCATGGAACGTTCTGCCAGGGTAAGCTTATACATTTTAATGAATAATATTATCTGAGCATATTCGACATATACAGGTATGAGTTATTGTTGTTATCCATATACAGGTATGAGTTATTGTTGTTATTATTTGTAGCAGATAGATGGCTGTGATTACTTAATGGAGTTGTAACCCTCCCTTGCCAGCTACAGCTAAGAGGACACTTGGAAATCTTACATACAGTATATAATGTCCAGTTTCCACTCTGCAAAAGTGGGTTAGCAATAGGAAGGGAATCCAGCCAATATTTTAGGAGCATCACGTGTATTTCGTTCATTTTCATGTTCAATATAAGTGTGACCAATATTTTGATAGTTTTGTAATGTTATTTTCTTGTTTGATGAGAGATCTTGGTACGACATTAACATCGTTAACATATCTAAATCACTCTTAAGACAGAACTAGTTCCCAAGGTATGTGAGTGTACACATGAATTTTATTTAAGGTAAGATCCATCAGCTCCAGAAATACTAAAAGAAAGAGGCATCAACAAAGGGTCAGTCTCCCAGTAATTTAAAACTTTTTCAAGGAAGAACCCTCTTTGCAGGACATTAAATGACAGCCACTCTGTAATATATCTCCTCTAAGTTTTTATTTTGAACTATTTTGTGCTACAATATTTTGATTCTTTGGGTCTTCAGTGTAGATTAGTAACAATTATTTGGGGAGCAAAAAAACAAGAGTGGTGAGATTCTTATTAAACAAACTTATTAACACTCATATTTAATGCATATGCCAAGTCAGTTTTTATGCATACAGTATTTGCATCAACAGGACACAAATATAGTATTGTACTGTATTCCACTTACTCACTAGAGTATTTGGAAACTCGTTGTTTCTGTATGTTTTTTATACAATTCTCTTTAGTATTATTTTACCATACTCATTAAATTTTAATAACTTAAATATTTTAAAAGCTAATTGAAACCGAAAGGCAATACTGTATAGAGGTTGTGAGAACATAACTCAGGTGTGTGGAGTTAGCCAACATGAGATGGTCCATACAGTTAGCCGGGTGTACCCTGTAAAACACACAAATTGTTCTGATACTAAGTATTAAAAGAATAGATTAAATGAAATGGATCTTAAGTAAATGTCAGGAGTAATAATTAATCAACAACAAAATATGCATATGCTCCACACTTGCATACTAAATGATTGAATTGGGGTGTTTCATAATTAATATGAATTGCGTTGCATATAATGGATGGTAATGACACGGATGTAAGATACTGTAGATCTTTGGGTAATTAATTTAATTATGAAATATTTATCCAGCCACAGTATGGGGCTTACTCCCTAACACCTTTTGCCATGTAAAATCTGACAAAAATATGTGTTCTCTGCTGAATGAATGAACTAGAGAATGAAGCCAATCCCTGCATTGTACTGGATTTTGTGACAACTCAAACTGATACCTTATTATCATTATCACTATTTTATGGTCGTTTTCTGCCTTGAGACAAGGGTTATAGAGGACCAGACATCAATCCAGACTCTTGGTTGCAATTAGACTGCTCAATGGTTGAACACTGAGGGCTTTTATTGCCATAGAGCAAGTCTACATCCACAATTTAAAAAAAATTTGAGGCAGTCAACTGTCCTCGCGACACTCATGAATTATGTACAGTGTATGTACGAATTTACCAGAAGAGCTTTTTGTAAGCCTTCTCCATAAAGATTGATGCTGTGGTATGCATAGCTTTGTACTTTATATAACAATATCTTATCTCTTATCCATTTGCAGGGTCTGATCCAGGAATATTAGTGGAAGTGTTCTGAGAAGTGGTGGGTGGGGGAATATGGTGAGTACAGCAAACTCACCCAGCAGCTGAAGGGGCATTGTAAGCCTCCCCAGAAATTTTTTGGAAATCTGACCAGTATCATGGGCATTTTGAGGCCATTTGCACTTGATATTAGATAGTCTGAGGTTAATGGAAATTACTTTTTACTATACAATAATGCCTGGTACAATACTGCATTAAAAAAAAGTGTTGGAATTTTCTGATGAAAAGGGGTGTCTGAACCCTCTGGATCTGCCCCTGATTTGTCTTGCAACATACTACTACTACTGTATATCTTATTACTCCAAACTTTCATCCCTTCTACTGTAGAAATTTTAATATTATAGTATGCAGAATGTATAAAAAACAAACTCAAAATCAGGGAAAATTTATTAATGGTATATTTTACAACCAGGGTAAAAAAAACTGCATGAGTGTATAGATATTTCTTGACCATTAAAATGAGTTTAGGTAATGACTCCATTGAAGTAGCCAGAAACTTGTACAGGTATAATACATAGTATAAGTCAACGTGAATAATGATTGATGAGTAAGTTTGGTTGAAATAAGGGGTTGTTACAAAAATATCAAGTATTTGGTAATACTGTATAGTACATTGGTGTGTGCTGGTGATGGAATTGTGGCTGAGCATTTACACCAAGAGCATAAGAATGGAGGAATCTGCAGTGGGCTTATTGGCCCATACTAGGCAGCCCCGTTTACACCCATTCCCTCTCAATCATAAATCCGTCCAACCTATACATGCCTAGAGTATGTTGAGTAAAAGTTTGGTTCAGTATATAAGGAATGTAATACTTGGTACATTTGATAATTGTTGATTATAGGGCAGCTTGCTTTTTTTAATAGAAATATTTAGGTTTTATGTAACTAAAAGTGTATACTGTACTCATAATTTACCAATAGCATAACCTTCCTATAAATTTACAGGCCATCATGAGAACGGCAATCAAGTACAACCTAGGAATTGATCTCCGTACAGCTGCATATGTCAACTCAATTGAAAAGATCTTTAACACCTACAAGGAAGCAGGTCTCACCTTCACCTAAATATATATTTCATACATAATGAGATGTTGTAAGACTACTGTTAATATATCAAGAAGTTAAATGTCTTATTCTCAACAAGGAGACCATGGAATGAGCTGGAGTTTTAAAAGGATTCAGTGGTTGAGGTTGGCTGCTTTTTTGAGGTGGAGGTAAATTGTCTTGGGTGCCTCAGGTACACATCTTTCTTGGTGGCGTTAATAAATCAGATGTGAACCTCATAAGCATTTATACTTACTTTCTGTCTCTACTGTATATAACATCTATAAAACAGCAAATTGTATGTATGGAACTACATTACAGAATATGAAGTAAACTTAAATGTTTGCATGAGACAAGATAAAGTATATGTCACATTGTTATTGATATTGAAACTGAATTTGAGAATCTTTTTTTATAATACTACAGGAAAATAGTTTTCTTATCCATACATGATAGACATGTTGTTAGTATGTATAGTTATGCATTTCAATGTTAATGAACTTCTACTCTTCATGTTTAGTAAGGCAGGTGACCTTGCAATGGTTTTATTTTACTATTAAAAACCCAATACTTGGGAAAATTAAGTTTGTGTTTGTTTACATCATCATTGTACCCATTCTCTTTTTTTTCTGTATATTTCATTCTTTCCTCAAATCATGGGGGTGAATCAGCAGAAAGGAAGTAAATGATCAGGAAAGAAATATACAAAAAGAGAAATGCATAAGAAAAGCTTACAGGAACGTGCGGAGTTCTGAAGTTGAAATGAACACACCCACCCACCTGTGATGTAGGTCTTGTCTTATTCTAAGATTTTTCTTAAGGCCTTTTGAGACTATAAATTTATTTATTAATATTCAGGTCTTCCGATGGAGTAGTCTACAGGTTAAATTTGGGTTTAAGTAAGGGGAGATATATCACTTCAGGTCACTTGAAGGGGCATATTTGAGTAGAAGTTAGTTGCATATTTCTAGCCTAATGTGGGGGCACTTGAATCCCCAACTTCTATTTTAAGTCTGACCTCCGCAAAACTTAAGCAAAACATTGGCTGAAAGAAATTTAGGTACAAGTTTGAGATAAAAATATCATAGACAATTTGGTATAGAACATGACATCCGTTGGTACTTGTTTTTATTGACTCATCAAATTCTACCAACATTTTGTGTTAATAGTTTTTAAAAAAAAAAAAAATTTTCCTTGCCACAAGTGCTTTACTCAAGTTCTGAGAACCTCACTGCAGTTCTTGCATGATGTCACAACTCTATTATCTTTATGTCCACAACTGCATGATTTCAACTTCATTGATTGCTTGATACCTTCAAAATGTTTCTTCCTGGATAATGTCACAACTTCTTTACCGGTATGTCACTTTCTTTAATATGTCAATACCTGCACTACTTAATTGATATCACAACTTCACCAGCTTCATGGTATAAAAAAAGACTTACCGGGCACTTACATGATCTCAAAACTTCATTACCTCAATGATGTTACAACCTTTATGATAACACTATTACATTATACAGGGTGGTCCAAAAGTCCCCATTTATTTTGTTGAAAATATGGTAATTCAGGTTGAAAATTAAATAACAATCAAATAGATATTTATGTCTCCTTTACACACATAGAGACAAAATTAATATCACCTGTATATATTAGATAAGCTATTAGTATCTCATAAACACACAGACATATTGTTCACCTCTTCTGTATTGCCACATGAGGTAAGTGATACATGTTTATCACCACCCTGTAAATGATGTAAATATTACATATACATACTCTACAGTATTGTATTCATGACTGCACTACATGTGGTTAATTATATCTATATACAGTACACAACCATGATGTATATGTAGCAGTTATGTTTTTATCATGATCCTCTATATGTAACAAGTGACATGTGTACATTACCACACTGCTTGCACATGTGACAAATGACGTATATGTCCATCATCTCACTGCTGCACTCGTGGTAAGTGATGTTTACATTACCACACTTCACACATGGGAAATGATACATTGCACACATGAGTAATGATACATAACATACTGTGTTGCACAGAGACTTGTGCATTAGGTATTAGGTAGATCACCTACAGCCACAACTTGTGATATCCAGGTCATTTATTTTAATCATCTTAAGGTATCCTTCTTGCATCACGAAAAAGGGTTGATACTGGTAGTGGATGGGCATGCACTGTGGTGCTGGCATGTTGTCTGCGCTCCTCAGGAACCTAAAGTATGGAGGGAGGAATTAATGTTTTTTATTCAGAAGTTAAACTGGCTTGACTCCTACAGCAACGTAATGGAGAGAAGGAAAGAGTAAACATGGTGAAGTAAGAGATTGAAGTGATTATTATCCCAAGGTTAAAACTGGTTTGACATTTATAGAACACAATACTGTAGTAGGGGGAATGAGTAGAGATGTGAATTAAGTATTACTGCAAGAGCTTATAAGAAAGGATGAGTGGTAGACATTAGGTTAGTTACTCTGCTCTGATTTAGCCTCCACATTATCCTAACCTTGATGGTTGAGAGGACAGTGAACAATGTTTTGTGAGTGTTGGCAACACTACTATACAGCTCCTCCCCGACTTACGACGGGGTTAGGGACCCAAATCCAGGTCGTAAGTCGAAAATGCTTAAATAATACATAGAAAATCTAAAATGGGGTCTTTTTCTTCTCAGCACCACAAAACTCTCACTTTTAAGCTTGCCAGCCATTTTAAAGTGAATTACAAACGAAAATTTTGTCTGTACTGACGTTGGGACTCGAAAATACGTAATTTGACAAAATTTTTGTACAACTGAGGCAGGTCATAAGTCGGGGAGGAGCTGTATTTATATCTGGGATTATTATTTTTTTTTTTTTCGTTCTCTATTCTACACTAATGGCAAAGCAAATTGTTCATTGACATATTCAACAACAAATGTTACTTGCAGTTTTGTATTAAAAGTTTTGAATATGGATTGGTGTTTGTAACTTTGGAATGTGTCATGGCTAGTTATTCTGACCAGCAACAACATATGGAAGTAGTTTCTAACAAGCCTTATAGGCTAAATGTTTTCTACAGTATTGCATCAGATCAAAGTTTATATGAATTTTTATTAATGGGAGTTCTCTTGATAGAAGACATTAGCAACCTTTGATTAGTAGTGTGTCTAGTTTCCACAGGTTAATGGTGAAGGTAATCAACCAAAAAGGTTCAGAAGACTGGTCTGAATCTTCTCAACCCATCCAAAGTCAGTAAAGGACTGAAAATTACTTGAACATGTCAATAATATAGTCTGTTCTTAGGAACCATATGATATGTCAACACCTTAAATTTTAATTAGTCAGGCAAGCATTTCAGAAAAAAGTGATAGGAAACAACGACCCATCAAAAGTCTGCAAAGGGAAGGGACTTGTAGGACTGTGGTCATATGTTGACATTTTCTAAGGACTCATAACTGCATCAAATCTGAATTAATGAAATGATGATCCCCAGTATAGTTCATGGAAGGATATAATTCTTCAGTTCCCCACATAGTTAGCCCAGAGCAAAAACTAAGAGCCAGTATCAAATGCAAGAGACTACAGGCAACCTGCTGGAGCTGAAAATAAACTGTTGTTGGTAACTCGATGTACATTTTTCAACAAGCCCAGGTACACTGCATGGATGAAGTAAAGAAAATATTGAAACAATCATAGTTCTTAAGAGTTGGAAGAAACTTGAAATGTTCATACAATCAATAGAAGTCACTTGAAGATACTTAAAATGAGTATTTAATGAGAAAGCCTGAAGGATTGTGAAATATTCTTAGGCAACAGATGAAACTTGAAAATAAAAGACAGTTCTGTACAGTATATGAAAACATTGGCAGGCACTTATAGTCTATTCTAAAAAAGGGCTCATTAACAAAAGAGACATATGATGTCCTGTAGCTACATACTTGTATTTAGCTCTAAGAAGAGCATTGGTGGAGAAGATGGAAGGATGGTCGAGGACATGGCAGGAGCCGACACAATATTTGAGTTGTAGGGTGACTGGGTACACCACCTGATGAAGACCAATTTCCTTCATGGACACCAGCAGGTTGGATACCTGATGCAAACACCCAACAAGTATGAAGAACTCGGTTTCATTTATATAATTTTATTACTGTAATTAAAAACTTTAATGATACAAGTAATATTGTACTGCAGAAGGACAGATATTTCAAAATTACAGTGCTGTATATATACTACAGTATACTGTACACTTATCAGGATCAGTGTACAGTATATATACTACAGTATACTGTACACTTATCAGTATCAGTGTACAGGATATTACTGTCTCATCATCAGGTATGACAGTTACCCTTCTGGCACAGAACTGTCACCCCACTCGTACAGACAACACATATCAAGTAGAAACGAGTGTCAGTTGTACATTGAGCGAGCATACTGTAGAAGTTAGGGCTAACAATACAATTTTAATAGGCTGAGTGAAATGACAGATAAATCTTGTGTAAAGAATATACTACTATGGCACTAACCAAACTCCATCTTTTGTATCAAGAATTGTTTTTAAGTTCAGCTTTACATTTACACTCCTTTCAGTCCTGTCTCACTTTGCTAGACTTTGAGCACAATCTTCACACAATTCAGATACGGGTTCAGTTCCTGAGGACGTTCCTAAGTTAGATTTGTACCAAGTCGGAATACATGCTTTGTGCATACCGTACTTATATACCGGTACATCTAAAATCACTAATTTAAGACAAAAGAAGAAATAGAATGACAAAATACAGTAAATGAAAGTAAAAAATAAGTCATCAGGTAAATAAAATACTGTAAATTTCAAGTTTAACCCCATTCATATCAGCTGGCATTTGTAAGTCGCATGTTCATAAGTCCTCCTGTATTCAGTTACTCACAAAAGTTATTGGAAGTAATTGAGGTTTTCATATGAGAATGTACTTTATTGAAAAAGCTACTACAGTACTAATTGCCCACACAAATATGTAGACTGTTTGCATAAGCATCAAATATGGCATATCCTCCAATTCATTAAACTAAAATGAACAGCACATAACTATTTGAATAATGAAGACTAATACCCTGTATTTGTTTTTATCCTAAATTTGATAAATGTGGCTGCATTGGTAAGGTATTACTTATGCAACCGCAGTTATGTACAGTGACAAAAGCATGGTTATTATGCGAACAATCACAAATTGATATCAATATCCTACAAAAATTATTTGGCAGTCACTGCAAATGACCTTCGCTTCTCCTCGCCTGCCTGGCGGTCCTCGCTCCCGCCAGCGAGCATGGCGACCCACCAGCTGTCCTTCTCTGAGCTTCCTCACCAACCAGCTCTCTCATTCTGGTCTCTCTTCTTGAACAAGCAACACCTCCTCCAGCAAGCTCCACGCTGTCAGCATTCATTCAACCAGGAGGCCAGCAACAGGCAACATCTTCTCTAACAAAGCTCCTGCACATCTACCTCCTTCAACACGCTACTCACCGAACGTCTCTACTGAGCAGCTCCTCACCACACGGCACCTCCAGCACCAGACTGTCTATCATATAACTTATATTATACAAGAAAAC